ACTCAGGAAGCTGAGGCAGGAGAATGGCTTGAACCCAGGAGGCAGAGGTTGCAGTGAACCAAGCAAGATCATGCCACTATACTCCAGCCTGGGTGACAGAGAAAGACTCCATCTAAAAAAAAAAAAAAAAAAAAAAAGGCACTGGCAAACAAATATTACATTATATTTTATACCTGAGACATATTTAGAGATATCTTATATTTAGAGGTTAGTCATGTAAGTCGTGACTTAGAATATTTAGGTTAATGTGATAGCCACTGTTGCCTGTTCAACAGCCATTTCCCTCATTCTCCTTTCCAAGTCCTCATTTCATTCAGTAATCTACCCTCCTCATTATATCCATGTTATACAGGTGAGGCTGACTTCATTCCAACCCCTACGGGTATGGCTTGATTAGCCTAAAATAGTTTTTTTTGTTTTGTTTTGTTTTTTTTTGAGACGGAGTTTCACTCTTGTTACCCAGGCTGGAGTGCAATGGCATGATCTTGGCTCACTCCAACCTCCGCCTTCTGGGTTCAAGCAGTTCTCCTGCCTCAGCCTCCCGAGTGGCTGGGACTACAGGTGCACGCCACCATGCCCAGCTCATTTTTGTATTTTTAGTAGAGATGGGGTTTCACCATGTTGACCAGGATGGTCTCGATCTCTTGACCTCGTGATCCACCCGCCTCGGCCTCACAAAGTGCTGGGATTACAGGTGTGAGCCACCGCACCCAACCAAACAGAGTTCTATTTATAGCCACCTGGTTTTGTAGAAGTTTTATTGAAACATAGCTGTGTCTATTTGTTTATGCATTTTCTATGCCTCTTCAGCTACAATGGCAGAGGCAGAGTTGGGACTATGAGTAATTCACAAGCTTAAAATGTTTATTATCTGGCTCTTTCAAACGAAAGTGTACCAATCCTTGGTCAAGCCCAATTTTATTTATTTACTTTTTTTTTTTTTTTTTTTTTTTTTTTTTGAGACACAGTCTCTCTCTGTTACCCAGGCTGGAGTGCAATGGCGCAATCTCGGCTCACTGCAACTTCCGCCTCCCAGGTTCATGCGATTCTCTTGCCTCAGCCTCCTGAGTAGCTGGGATTACAGGTGCGTGCAACCGTGCCCAGCTAATTTTTGTATTTTTAGTAGAGACAGGGTTTCAACATCTTGGCCAGGCTGGTCTTGAACTCATGACATCGTGATCCACCCACCTCGGCCTCCCAAAGTGCTGGGATTACACGTGTGAGCCACCGCACCCGGCTATTTACTTTTGAGACAGAGTCTCGGTCTGTTATCCAGGCTGGAGTGTGGTGGTGCAATCTGGGCTCACTGCAACCTCTGCCTCTCAAGTTCAAGTGAGTCTCCTGCCACAGCCTCTCCCAGGTAGCTGAGATCACAAGCACACACCACCACACCTGGCTAATTTTTGTATTTTTAGTAGAGATGGGGTTGACTGGTTGGCATGTTGGCCAGACTGGTCTTGAACTCCTGACCTCAGGTGATCCGCCTGCCTCAGCCTCCCAAAGTGCTGGGATTATAGGCGTGAGCCACCATGCCCGGCCAAGCCAATGTTTTTTAATCTTTGAGTCAGACCCATTAGTAGGTCATTTAGCATTGCTACCTGAATTTTTTTAATTTTTTTTTTTTTTTTAAGACAGGGTTTCACCATGTTGGTCAGGCTGGTCTTGAACTCCCGACCTCAGGTGATCTACCTGCCTTGGCCTCCAAAGTGCTTGGATTACAGGCGTGAGCCACTACGTCCGGCCTGCTACCTGAATTTTTAAAATAAAATAGATTGTAGGTAGTGAGGTAACTATGACATGTCTTAGTTACGTGCCTGTGTGTGTGTGTATAAATTGGGTTACAATGTAAAATGTATTTTTTACAGTGGCTAGTGATCAAATAGTATTGGTTTATACAGCAAAATGGATTTTGCATTTAAGCTCCAATCCAGCAATACCTCTTCTAGAAAAATCAAGCATACAGATACAGTGGCAAAAATAAAATGACGTATGTACAGAGTTATTCATTACAACACTTTTTGTAATAGCAAAAGACTAAAAATAACCAACTGCTATTAACAGGTTGAATAAATTATGGTACATCCACACAAGGAAGACTATTCAGCTAAAAAAAGGAGTGAGGACTACCTTCTACATACTGCTGCAGAATGCACTCCAGGATATACTATTAGTGAAAAAAGCAAAGTGGAGAAAAGTGTATACAGGATGCTCTTGAAATATAATAGTGGAACAGGAAGAGAATAAAATTATAGACATTCCCATTCCAAAAGGGAGAAAATGGAAGGAAAAAAGGAGTTACTAGTCCTAAGCAATTTTGGAATCCAACAAGGCAACATCCATTAGGTTTCAAGGCCTGGGAATAATCTATGGCCCTTGGCTCTGCCCTCTGGAGACTCTATCCTTTGAGTCCTCCTTTTTCTCCAGCCTATTAACTGCCTATAGAATTTTGACAGTCCAATTGCCTTCTTTAGTTTTGTCCCCTTTCTGTCTAAGCTGGCAGTATTTCTGCTAATAGAGAATTCTCAAAACATTGTGGTTCTCCACTTCCCGTGGAGGAGGAGGAAGAAGAAAAAAAAGAAACCACTGTGGCTCTCTTGCATATATCATGGGATTGAATCCATTAGAAAAGATGTTCCTCCATGGATCTCTTCTGAATAATCCCATCTCTATTCTTGGTTTCTGTTGAGATGGCTGAGAGGATCCACAAATCACATAATTAATTTCTTCAGCAGTTAAGGGAAAAAAAAGGTGGCCTAGTCATACCTGTGGCGTGCTCTCTGCAGCATCCTTTCCTAATAGTGAAGCTCCCAATTTCAGCATCTTTTGCAATCTGGATAGGCTGAAACATTTCCTTAATATTAAATGTTGATTCCTTTTTTGTGCTTTAATAGTTCTTCCCTCAATTTATTGTTCTCACATTTTACTATAAGCAACAAGAAGAAAGCGGGC